AGGTCTAGGCCCGAAATGTCAGTCTTCCTGCTCCTATGATGCTGCTTGGCCTGCTGTGTTCGTCCAGCTCTACACCTTGTTATCTCAGATTCTCCAGCATCTGCAGTTCCTACTATCTCATGTTTCCAATTTTGATTGTTTTCCAAAATAAAATACACTCTAGTATCCTCTGAATCTGAGTTGAATGCCAGATTAGAAATGGGTTTAAACTAATCTGAATAAATACGGTTAAAGGAAAAACTGAACCTATTTTGTCACGTATCCTAGACAACAAGGTGCAGGGCTGGATGAACACTGCAGGCCAAGCACCTAACCCTAACCCTATCGCAGCCTCTCTGCTCCTATGATGCTGCTTGGCCTGCTGTGTTCATCCAGCCCTGCACCTTGTTGTCTCGGATTCTCCAGCATCTGCAGTTCCTACTATCTCTGATTCAATTGTCACGTATCCTATTTAGTATGTTAGTATATCTGTAAGTGACGTGTTCATGATATCATCACTATGACATGTAGCACGTGACCTGAGGATGTGAAGATCTCAGGCTCCTTCTTAACTGAGGCCATTTGAACCATGACTCCCTGATGGAAGTATACTTTTCTTTCTAACCAAATAGCTTGATTTTAGCCCAGACACTGAAGTGCTTATGAATGTAATATTTTTATATATTAGTGAACTATAATAATAGTCTGTTGGCTCTTTCAATACTTGTCGGCCATGTCTAAGATCATGTACTCCACGTGATAACATAAGCATTACCACATCAGATAAAGATCTTGAAGGCAGTACAAAAATCTGAACTCCAGCAAGTTTGTTTTTTCATTATCTCCTAATGTTTAAGTTTTAAACTAATTTATCCAACATTTTTGCACAAATGGCACAGCGTATTTAGGAATCTGCAATCAAGAAAGCTTTTTGTTTTTTCATATGATGATACTTCTGCTATGAAGTTGCATTTTAATAAACAGAACATTCAGAGCAGGTCCCTGTGAGGATTTTGTTCTTAATCTCCTTTTTAAAAATATGCTCTTAAGATCAGGGGTTGAAAAAAAATACTTTGCCTACATTTACAGATTGAATAAAACAGTGTTGAGAGAATCCTGCGCAAATACTAGCAGAAGAAACCATGGGTGAAAAGTTAAGTCATGGTCGGGATTGTTGTGGGGAGATCTATTTGAACACAGTTTAATGGAGAAACCTAAATTTTTGAGGACACTGGATGTTTTGTAGATAGTCACAAAATTCACTTGTATATCAGCAACCCTGAATGCTTTAAATCATATTGTTTTTGTCTAAATTAATTGTATTTGGATGCAAAAGTTGAGGAACTGCCAGACACTTATGCATGTTCCATCTTTAAGATGTTTTCAACTGTGTACAATGCAGAAAGCAATTCTTTTTTCAAAATTGTGCATTTTGTACAGCACCATCTCTTCCTTTCTGAAATGAAAGGATGATAAAAGTTGAGTTACCCGCCTCCCTAACCTGTCCTCCCACCTACCCACTCCTCCCATCTCAAGCCCTCCCCCATCTCCTACCTACTAGCCTCATCCCGCCTCCTTGACCTATCCGTCCTCCCTGGACCAACCTATCCCCTCGCTAACTTCTCACCTACACTCACCTTTACTGGTTCCAACCCCGCCTCCTTGACCTGTCTGCCTCCTCTCCATCTATCTTCTCCTTTTATCCATCTTCTATCCGCCTCCCCCTCTCTCCCTATTTATTTCAGAATCCCCTTCCCCTCCCCCATTTCTGAAGAAGGGTCTAGGCCCGAAACGTCAGCTTTCCTGCTCCTCTGATGCTGCTTGGCCTGCTGTGTTCATCCAGCTCTACACCTTGTTATCTCTATAAAAGTTGAGTTAATCTGTTTGATTTTGAAATTTACATTCTCAAACTTTCCACATGATTCATTTGCAAAGTTGATATTTGGCAATAAAGACTTGAAATATCATCAAGCACATTTCTGAGTCTTTAGTAAAGTTTAATCTGAGTTTAATGAGGCAGAATAAAGTTAACCATATTTGTAAATTTTGGAAACTTGTCAGTTTTGCTTTTTGTACATGTCAAACCTTCATGTTTACCAGTAAAATATTTCGAGTGTAACATCATTAATTATACAAGGATTGTTCATAATTGTGGAAAATATAACAGGAGCTGACTCAATGCATTATACATTTTAGTCAATTCTTTTCCCTTGGAAACATAAACAGGCAAGTCGACCTCATCCTATCTTTCTTTGAAAGTGGTTAGTCTCAGCAACAAAAAAGAAAATGTGACTTTTGTGATCGTAGTCTACTTTTATCCTTTTCCCTGTTATCCAAGATATCTAGGTGTGGCCTTTTTAATATTATACGCTGAATGTTAAGCTAACATTATTTTCTTTCTCCCAATTATAAGGAGAAGGTAAAAATGTCAGTACATGATATCAAGGCATGAAATGACAGGAAGTCAGCTGTTAATGTTATATATGTTTGTTTGCATGCTAACTATTATAATCAACTGTATTTGGTTTTAGTAATAATGATACCTTGATGGTGTATGAAAGATCTAAAGCACAGTAACAAAATAGACTTGCGGGTTGTCCATTCAACTTCTGGGACCTAATTCAAACCGAAGTCAGGCTGAAGTAATGCAAGTGTATGCTGTGGAGTTTTAAAACCATTAAATAGTCTCTAATCAGTTACACATGGGTTTGCCTGCTGATTGAACAATTTTAAATGTTCTTCATTGCAAATGCAAAATACTGCACACTCTGGAAATCTGTAGTAGAAACAGACAAAGCTGGAAATACTCAGCAAGAGAAGCAGCAGCTATGGCAAGAGAAACAATGTTCTATTGATAACCTTTCTCTAAGAAGCTATGGTTGTTCTCCTCCTTAGAAATAAGAAGATTGAGAGGAATTTGATCAGGGTGTTTGGGCTCTGGTCTGTTTGTCGGAAGATATTGACAATGCTATCCAGTCTCCAGTATTATCAGAGAGTACATTGGAAAATCCATTCCCATTGCCCTCAAGGATAATAATCCCGATACACTCATTTTAAGATGAATATTTGAGACACAGATAATTTTTTTTCCTAAGGTTTGGGAGTCTTTCGAATCCTTTTCCTCAAAACATACTGGATACTGAAATTTTAAACATTTTTAAGGGAGAGGTAGATAGATTCTTAATTACCAAGGGGATGAAAGACTATCAGAGATATTCAGGACCGTAGATTTGAACTCAAAATTAGACCAGTCATGATCTTATTGAATGACGGAGCAGACTCAAAGGGCTGAGTGGCCTACTGTTGTTCCTTGTTTGTATAAATGGCTAAAGAATCGAGGTGGACAGAATTTTTTTTAATCAATGAATGGTGCAGATCTGGAGTGCTGCGAATGCTGTGGAGAAACACTGAGTCATGGCTTTCAAAGGGTAAATGGAGGAGCCGGCTTGAAATTGAACTCTACTATTCCCAGAATCATCACAAAAGCTAAACATTTTATCAAGTTAGCAAAGTTTCCTGACTTTCAGACCCAGGTTAATAGAAAGCATGAACCATGTTTATACACTGAACAGGAATTACTATATATTAGTAATTAGCTACAGGTAAACCATCAACATATAACACTACATGATAAACCTCTCATCCCCTTATCTCCTCCTTCTGTCCCTGTCTCTCTTTGTCTTCCTCTCCATCAAACAAGGGAAGTAAATGGTTGAGCATATGGGAAAACTGGAAAGGATTTCATCAGTCTTTTCCCAGAGTCTGTTAATGAGATGAGCCTTGTGTTTCTTCAGCTAGCCAGCACTTTGCTTCAGTCATCTTTCCCCAAATGCATCTGGCTGGTTCACTTTTTTTTTTAATGAAGTCTCTGACTTATCAGTTAAAAGCCAAAGCTTATAACAGAATTGCAGGAAACATAAACTAGTTTTCTTCAGGTTTACAGTGGGTTTTTGGACTGCAGAGAACACAGGCCACTCCGAAACTGGGGAAAACTGGCCACGTGTCTCTCTGTCTCTGCCTGTGTTTCTCTGTAACCTTGTCATTGATAACTAGTCACTAGTTCACAGACCAATGAACTTCTTTGTACCAGCCAAAGCTCCATCCATACATCCCCTCAATCCAAATTATCTGCAACTCAAACTTCAGTGACTGCCTGTTCAAACAGTTGCTTAGAAAATGCTTGCCAGGAAAGTCTGATTACTTGCTTTCAAAACAATCAGCCATGCTTTCAAAGACTGGTTTAAAACACCGCTTTTTCATTTCTGGCCACAGGTATTTTTTTTTTCGAAAAGGCATGGTCCTTGCAAATCTTTTCTGCCAATTATTCTCGGGCTGTGGGACAGTGGGACTCTTCTAGAGAATCAGCACAGATATGATGGACCAAAAGCTTCCAAATATGTTGTAAATGTTCTAAGACTTACATTGGAAATTGGACTCTCAACAAACTGATCAGGGGTATAATTGCACTTTGCTGTTGCAGCTGAAGAAAGGACAATAAGTCAGTTTTACCAGACAGTTATGTCTATTTTCATAACCTTTCGCCTGACTCTATACCACATGAGAGTTTCATAAATCCTGAACCAGATGTCTGGATTGAATCATGTATAAATCAGATGTTGTGTTTAAGACCATAAGATGTGGGAGCGCACGTATGCCATTCAGCCCATCAAGTCTGCTCTACCATTCGATGAGATCATGGCTGACCTGATAATCCTCAAGTCCTCTTTCCTGCCTTTACCCTTACCGATAACCCATCCCTCACTGATTAAAAATCTGTCTACCTCCGTTTCAATGTACTTAACGACGCAGCCTCAACAGCCCTATGCAGCAAAGAATTCCACGGGTTCATTGCCCTCTGAGACAAGGCATACACCTCAATTTGTTAATAGTTGGTACATACAATTGTTAACAAAATTTAGTTACACCACTTGTTAGAATCTTGACTTTATAGCTTTGAATGTTTGGATTTTCACTTTTGCGCCAAACACTTGGTTCACAGTTCAGTATAAATTGCTTTGCAGCTCCGAACTGATGCAGAAAAGCGTTCCATGGTTGAGAGTGGTCTGACCTGGTACAGCAGCTCCGAAAGTAAAGGTCAGAAGAAGTCTGAGGGTGGCTATGATGCCAGCAATCTTAAGATGGACCAAAACACAAAGTGGAGACGTATCCGCACTGAGTCAGCAGAAGAAACAACAAAAGGAGAACTGAAGAAACAGCAATCCACAGGACAAACCAGTTCACTGAAAAGGGGTGCAGCGCCAGTTGGAGTAACTTCTCCAATAACCAGTTCAGGAGCAGGATCTCTGAAAGTTGCTGGTAAGTGCCAAGAATGGTTTTAAAAAAAAAATAGATTTGCATTACTGAAAATTTTAGCAAAATATTTTGAACATCTGGATAAGAGCATGTTTAAATGTTTGCATTAATAACTCCAAACAATTTGATGATGACAATCCAGTAGATATGCACCTTAATGCCATATCTGCTTTTTAAAATAAGGTGCTTCTCATTTGAAGTCGCCTTGGAGTTAGGTTGCTGTAATCATCATTCATCGTCAGGTAGGTGTAACTATGTGTCTTGTTTGCTTCATTATTCTTTTCTTCCATGTCTTCTAGAAAATCTGTGACTTTACAATGTACTTTACAAGGCATGGATAATTATATATTTTAATGTAAAGTCTGAAATATCACTTGTTGAATCAGTACTCTATACTTTGCACATTATTAGACCATCATTCAGTTTGAAACCTTCTGTTGATTGTCACTTAATCTTTTGATTCAAAAGCATTTCAAATTTATGAATTTCTTGTGCAATGTACAATAGTATTGACGTCCTTGTGAATGAACAAATGCAAAATTTTTGAAGTACAGCACAAACCCAAACCCACATCACCACATCTTAGCAATAGTTGCGTTCAGACCTAATAGAGAACAGTTGAAGCATATGCAAAGAAGCGTAGCGTGACAGCATGGTTATCAACTCCCCACCCCCTTATTTCCTGAATATCCCACCTTGGTCAAGGAATAGTCCATTTATCTTGATGTTTCAGCTAGACACAAATATGGTACTCTCATCATTCAGTCTGAAAAGTGTGGTCTAAGCATAACCTTGACAGAAATACTGATGACCGAGTGTTCCATTGGTGACGCTATCTTATTTGAGATGACAGAAATGTTAAACTAAGTCCCAATTTAGCTATTGAGATAGATGTGAAAGACTTCATCAGTTTCTTCTGTTTGCTCATCAGATGTCAGTGTTGCTGGAAAGGCCAGTATTTGTTGTCAATCTCCAACAACCTTTGACAAAATGGTGGTGGGCTGTCACCTTCTGTATTGCAATCCAGATAATGTAGATATACCACCATGCTGTAAAACAGGAGTTCCAGGATTTTGACTCAATGATGTTAAAGGAACAGAAATATTTCCAAGTCAGAATGATGTGTGGATTGGAGGGGATATTGCAAGTGGTGGTGTTCCTAAATATCTGCAGCCGTTAATCTCCTAGGTGGTAGAGGTTGTGGGTTTGGAAGATGCTGTTGAAGAAGCCTTGGTGAGTTGTTGCAGTGCATTTTGTTAATAGTGTATATGGTAGTCTCTAATATGTCAGTGATGAAGGAAATGAATGCTGATGGTGGTGAATGGAATGCTAATCAAGTAAGTGGCATCGTTTTGAGCATTGTTGGTGCTGCACTTATCCAGGCATGGGACGTGTTCCTAATAGGTAGAAAAAAGATTTAGGGGAATCAAAAGTTGAATTACTAGCCTCAGTTGCTGCTTACGTTTTTTTCTATTGGTGTTAAAGCTGGCCACTTTCAGTAAGTTTTAATGTGGGACCCTGTTCCCACGGCAACCAGGTCACATGGTGTGTCTCTGGGCAGATTCTACAGGATAAACTCACATCCTGATCGCACCCAAGTTACTCTGCTTTACCATTTGTGGGTAATAACCATTTCCTGGAGCTTGTGTGAAACGAATTTTAATTCTCACTTATCATTCCAATCCTGCATATTGCCCATGTCTTGATAGGATGACTAAAATTGCTTTAATATTTAAGAGTTGCAAACAATTCTCAATCCCAAATCATTAGCGAACATCCCTAATTTAAATACTGAAAATGGTCGAACCTCTCCAAGGAAGCCCTACTGGAAATTTATAACGGTGAGATGATTGGTCTCAAACAACTGCAAACTTCTCTGTTTGATGTCATACTTGGTCAAATGTTGAATTGATTTTCAACAATTAGATAAGTTAAAAGCTGCCTTAGCTGCCCGAATTGTTAACTATCTCAATAGCAGAAGTAGAAGTGAAACTGTTTAAAAAGATAGCCAAAACCAAACCTTAAAATGTCACTTCAATCCAATGGATAGTATTCCAGAAATTAGTAGCATCAAAATATTCCATTGAAGTTTCCTGTTGTGATTTCTTCCTGATTGTTCTCAATATATTTTAACACTTGCTTCTGGAAATTTCAGCGTACTTCATTTTCCATTCTATTTCCCATTTTCCTTTATCACTGTGATTGTCCTATTCCTGATGTGTAAACCTTAGGAGCACCATTTATTATTGAATTTGAACTGCGCTCCAAGGGAGTTTTGTAAGAAATATAAATTTTGATTGCAGAGTCATTAATTGAACAGCTGGACATTGGTCTGTCTAAGGGAGAATGCTTGGCACTGTTTTGATCAATTGCTGATTATAATCTCACTGGTTCTTCAAGACTGTTGGGAAAACTTTGGGGGGAAGAAACAAAACTACCAGTTTGACAATAAGGATAATTACAAAAAAAGAGATGATGTCATGTCAGCTTCAATTACTCCCAGCACCTTCTCCAACCACAGTGTGTCTCCTCTCTAAAAGGTGCATGCTAACTTTAAATAGCGCAGACTAGTTTTAACTGGTACGATCCACTCATGATATTGCCTGCATCCATCAACAGTTGGGCAATCGACAACCCTAGCTAGATACTGCAATCTTACAATCTAGACATTATCTAGTTGGTAGTTTCAACTATTTTGTTGCTGACGAGAGTTGTTATGCACACATGGCACCTGAGTTTTTGAGACCAGGAAATGTTAAGTTCAGTGAATTTTGTGCCACAGCGCAAGAACTGAGACGTGATTCATCACACAAAGTTTATCCTAGCTGTGAATATTATGGGATGAACTAAAGGTGACATATGGGAGAAGAGTCAATTTGCAGAAGTGCTTCCAGTTTGAAGGGAGACTGGTTGGAGTGGAGCCATGAGAATGCAGACAGGTGGAAACCAGGAGCTAAATCTAGGAATTTCCCTACTCCCCATTGGAGAGGCATGAGCAATCTCGCCTGGCCAGAGCTGGCTTTGACAGAATCACCAAAGTATTACAATGCAGAAGGAGGCTATTCAGCCCATTGTGCCTCCACTGGGCAGGGGCTCAATTAAGTCAATGGCCAACTGCCTTCTTTCAGGGATTCCATCTGAGTTTGCAGGTTGTCCTGGCAAAAGCTCCTACTGCTAGGACTGCAACCAACTCCTGAAACAGCGATGGTGATGGCCCAAGAATGCAAAGTCTTGGTGGAGCCTACTTGAGCTATTCAGGTAGGACCAAGTTATGCATGTTGGAGTTATATGTATTGATGGCTGTGCGGGTAAATATCATCTTTGAGCTGACGTTGGAGGGTGTGCCAGATCAGAATGGTCCCACATTCCTCCTTGAACATGCAGGGGTGGCGCTGGCATTGTGGTATGATTGCTGGATAGTTAATCAAGAGACCCAGATAATGTTTTAAGAAGCCCAGTTCAAATCCCACCACGGTGAATGGCAGAATTTTAATTCAATGTTTGTAAATAAAAAATCTACAATTAAGACGCTAATGATGACGATGAATCCATTGCCAATTGTCAGGGAAAAAAAAATCTGAATCACTGATGTTCATTAGGGAAGGAATATGGCCTACATGTGACACACAGCAATGTTGATGACTCTTTACTGCCCTGTATGTAGTTGGGGGTGGGCAATAAATGCTGAAATAACAATGATGCCCTCATCCTGTGAATGAAAAAAACTAAAGAAGAACTGCCATCTCTTACTGGCCAGCCTCAACAAGTGGCATTATGCCCCTCTTTCGCTGGTAGAATACCAGTGGCAGTGGAATGGGACTCTTGACTCGAAGTTAATTCAGTTATGTTCTGCCTTAATTCTGTAGCTGATCTAATAGAGGAAAATTGAGTGCCTACAGTGTCTACTGGGAGAGCTCTTGTGCCATTGTGTGGCTTCTCTGACTCTGAGCCAGAAGCTCTGGGTTTCATTCCCACCCCATGACTTGACTATGTCAGTTATATGTTGACCACCAACCTGCAACTCCTTCCAACACATACCTTGGCAGATAGTAAGAGTGCGAGAGATCTGTGTGCCTGTGAAGGAAAGAAAATTATAGCCTCTTCAACGTCACTATCTGGTAAGTTTGCACGGTAACATGTATAAAAGCACACGTTGTCATAGTAATGCACATTCCAAATGAACTGTAACACACCATTGCCCCTTGGGTCTAATGATGCTGAGGATCCAAGAACAACTCGCAAGAAAAATCAGCCACAGTTATAATCGTTAATGATGCAACTTTGATCGGTTTTATTTTGCTTCATTAGAAAGTGTAGAGAAACAGAAATGAGTGGTTAGGGGTTGCAGTTGGAATTTTAATAGTAAACTATATGCTCAATAAGGGGTCATACTATTCCTGAAGCTGGAGTTTAAAATTGTAAAGTTAAGATTATTAAGGGTACTTTTAAACCTTAGGTTTAGTTATTTATTTTGATCTTCCTGTTTTTCATGAGATTTAATTATGTACCTCATACACATGCACCAGCCTGAGGCAGTTGAAGAGTACTGTTTAATTGCTAATAAATCTGCTTTTATACAGAGCAGTCCTCTAGAATGCAAAACTGGGAAGCATTTGGTAATACAGAGAATGTGTGTTCGTAAGTACAAGGCTAGCTTTCGAACTGTGACTGTTTGTTTATAAATATAGCATTCACATTTGAATTCATAAATGCAGAGACTAAGTAAATAAAGCAGTAAACTGAAGCTGGCTAATTTATTGACTGAATTAGTGATAACTGAGGAAACATTATTCTCCACGAATGTTTTTTTTGCAAATGAGTAGAGAAACTACTCAATATCCTTCAGACATTCAGAGCAAAAAGAGCAGGAGACTGTCATCAGTGATTGAGTGTAGTTGTCAAAGCCTCTTCCTTGGAAAAGAACTCTGTGAATTCTTCTTATTTAGTTTAACCAGAAGTGTTAAAAACATGCCTAGGAAAACAGCAATGCTGTATTAATCCAT